ATTTGAAAAGTGTGCAATATATGATGTGCATGAGTCATGCGTGACATAATATCACACACACCTCTTTTGAATGCTGTGCAACACTGTTAGAATTTTGAAACAGAAATGGTCAATATTGGCAAAAGAAAAAAATGTGTATAATTTTATAAATATTATGATTAATAAATTATATACAGGGTAATTAAAAAAAAACTAGAATGCCTTAAAGGGATAAAACTTCTGTCATCATTGACTCACACTCATGTTGTTCCAAACCCGAATGACAGACTTTCTTCAGTGGAACAAAAAAAGAAGATATTTTGAAGAATGTTGGTAACCAATAACACTTTTGGTGACCTTTGACTTCCCTTGTATATTTAAAAGAAAAAAAACACACAGAGACATTTTTCAAAACACTTTCTTTTATGTTTTACTATTTTTGGCAAACTATCCCTTTAAATTTTCAGACAAACATTATGATTCATTTTAGGGATACTGAAAATTTTGTCAGACGTTTTTAAAAAAAATCTCTAAAATTGTCTTTGTTTTCCTTTAGGAGGGTTTGATCAGAGATGGTAGATACCCCACACCCCACACCCCCTAATTATTTATACCTTGGTCTCAAATGCTTACCACACCTTAAGAGTCTCTGAGTTAGTTTCACCTATTTTGCTACTAAATATCCTGTGAATCTGTTGGGGGCAGGGCATGAATGAATTTAGGCTAAGTTTTCATAGGACGTGAAATACCATGTGACTTCTGTCACCAGCTGCAGATGCACCTGCATCGTTGATGATGTACAGGACATTATGCAACCAGCAACTTATTAGCTCATGCCAAAGAGGTTCTTTCTGTGACTGTGAAGCTTTTTCTGACTCTTTTTCCTGGAAGTGTTTGGGGCTGTGTGGGAAAAACCAAACTTGTGGTTGAAAGGAAAACGCATGAATTGTGGTTGATTTCTTTTTAATTATTGATATATTTTTGTGTATTTCTGCTTTAGCCGTTAGTCCAGCCAGAGCCCAGATGACGCCACACTAAAAGAAACCAACACCTATTACATGCTGATTCGTTACACAAGGTCCTGTCATCAGCTCTGCCCCAAACACAAATCTTGCATTACTTTTTAAATAGTTTCACCTTTCTCCTTATATGGTCTGCTCTCTGATAAGCTAGTTTCTCTTCCCCTTTTTCCCAGAGTTGAGCAGATTCCAGAAGTTAAAGTGCAAGGTTTAGGCTGTGATTACTCATTAACTCATAGTAAAAAGGCTAGCATGTCAGTATAGGCCTCTAATTGCAAATCTTACATCAGTTTTTGCTGTTTTCTCCAGATGCAGCATGACGTAATGATTTTAAAATGAAGGAACAGGCCTATTCATGGACTGTCTGTCCTCATATTGTTCTCATGGTCTTCATAGTTCTTAGAGAGGAAATGTTGTAAACAGTACAAAAGAAATCAGTTCCTTTAACACAACCTTTATTGTTCTCCACACCCTCATGTTGACCCGCTGAGTTCACACTGGTTCACGAGGGAGCTTTTTCCTATTGAAGGAGCTGCATACTTGACTAAGCCTGCCAGAGGTCTTGTGTTTCCTTGTGTACAGTATATTAAGGGTCAAAAGACAAGTTTCATTAAACTACCCGATTAAGGGGTGTGTGCCCTTTGGAGTGTGACAGAGTGAGTGTGGAGAGTGAGTGTTCATAGGTGCATCTTGTTATTGTAAAAACCAAGAGGTTGCCTCTGTCCATCTGATTGGTCAGTGCATGGAGTGCGTGGAAACAAGGTATTTGCAAGTGTTTCCTATGAACAATGGTCACTTTTGTGAGTCTTGGCTGGGGGGGGGGGGGGGGGGGGTTTGTTTGTGGCTTCTTACGTCGGGGGGGGAGTATATGTTTGGCTGCTCATCTGAAAATTGAACAGGCTGTGCAGAACGAAATTCTCAAAAATCACAAAGGAAGACCAGCATTCTGTGCACTAAAAGCGATAGTAATTTAGCTTCATGTGAGTTCACTGTTGACATTGATACATTTTCCTTTGCTTGACTGAAGGAATGTCTGGGTTAGTGATATTAGCACATGATAACTGAAATTATGTCTGAAGCCCACATATTGCTTTTCTTCTTTTGCTTGCTGTTACATTCTTATCAACTATCCTCATGTACAAAAGGTTTGTGAAATAATAGTCTGAGTAGGCCGAACATGCAACTCTTTCTCAACAAATGTGAGAGACAGGGAAAGGTAAATTGTCAGTCACACTATTACTGCGATACACTCATGTCTACACGTTTCTACAAATGTGTCACTGTGGAAGGACAGTTTCAGTTACAGAGCGATCAGGAAAGACAAGATCAGCCGTCTATAAAAACCTCTACATGCAGTACAGTATAGACTGACTGCACAACATTTTGTGAGATATATTATAGGAAAAATACATTTCTATTAGAAAAGCATTTTTTCACACATATGAATAAAAAAAAATCTCTTTTTTTATTTATGGAAAGATTTGAAACACTGCATGAAAAAACAGTGATAGACTATGCTTAACTATTAGATATACCCATCATAACTATTGTTCCAAATTTTATTTTAAGACTGCAAATTATCTCTGTCATAAAGTTCCATTTATTAATTGATCAGCTATTTTGATCTGAAGACCTTTAGAGCTATGATTTAACACCACGGTATGACCACTAGCCGATGATCCGCAGTCAGACACGTCATTAGATTGGCTGCAGACTTTCCTGCACTGTCAGACCACATGTCCTGCTGAAGTCTGGATATACTCACCAACAGTGGAAACTTTCACCTTAGCAGGCCTCTCTTGCCTTGCTGTTATCTCACTTATCAGATCTGGGTGCATTCCTGCCAACATTTTTGCTCTTGCTGTTGAAACATACAAGCCGACACACATCTTATAAAAGGAATCTTGAGTATTAGTTTGAGATGGGCAGGCGTTAAATGTCCATTTGCGTACTTGATTTTGGATAATATCCAGTTATGTACAATTTCTATAACAAGAACAACACGTATAATGGAAGTTATAATGGAAAATAATGTTTTAAAAAACAATTGGAATTGGACAAATAAAAGGAATGGCTCAGATTTGGTGAGGAATATGGGTGTGGATTTGCAATCCCAGTAGAATTGTTCTAATTAGCTTTTCACCACACTGAATGTGAGCCACTGCAAATTCACTTCCACTTCCTGTTTTGCAACAGAGATTCCTGGAGCTTTGTGGACTGTGCTTTACAGAGGATGTATGCTTGAGAGAGATGAGAGAGGCTAATCTAAAACAAACACTTATTTCCATCATTTTTGAGCAACAGGATAAACGCCTTGTCTTAGGAAAATGGGTTTTGCTGGAAGACACAGCAGCTGCTGTTTCAGTTAAAGCTGCTACTGTAAATTTAAAAATGTACTCAATGTTGTGCACTTCTTTTCTGCAGTAGACTATTAAAAACATTTGAAGTGTTAGTTGGTTTTCAGACTGGAGATGGTTGTAATACTTTTTGCAAACAACTGTAACTCAACGTGAGAGTGTGTTTTGCATGATCTGAAAAGCAAAAAGATCGGCACACTGTTATTTTTGCTCCCAAAGAATTATTTGATCATTTAATGAATTGCAACATTATCTCAAACTTTGATATAAGTTCCTCATGTTTATCTGCTACAAATTTAGTTTGTTTTTAATCTACAGCTTTTATCTAAAGTGTTCAAATTAATTGGAAAGTACACGAAAGCTATTGATACAACCTTGCCTATACGGGAAGGTAAAATTTTCTACATGCATTTGTTTTGTTAATCAAATTTCTTGTTCAGAGTTATTTTTAGAATATCCACCGTCAACCTCATCTCCAACCTATGTCATGTTCAGCTTTTGATTCAAAAGGTATTATTCTAAAAAGGTGAACAAGTTGGAAAATGGCTGAACCAATACAGAAAACATACACCAATAATTAAAATAACATAACAGAAAGTATGTTTGTGCATGTAAGTCACTTTCACAGTTGGCATAAAATATTAAATGTCGGCTTATGCACTGTTCCATCTTTTTGCGTCTAGTAAAAGTAGGTACTGTTACAACTACCCCGCCTGCTCAGACATGATATTTGTAGATTTTTAAAAAAACATTTATGTAAAATTTTGAGTGGTGATTAGATGTTGAGATCTGTTGCTATTGAGATGACACTAGTTCAGTGGTTTAACAAGCCTTAACCTGATAAATGGCAAATCAAGTTATTGCAAAATGTTTTTTTTTCCTTTTCAAAATTATATTTGTCCTTTTATATCTGTACACAGAGGCTCACTTTAGTTGGATGTGGTGATGAATGATAGCGATTTCAACCTGTACCTAATGTCTAAGTGGTCAAAGTGACAGTGTAACAACCCTCTTCATGCTCCAATCATCCCTTGCACCATGCTCTCACCTACTTATATTCACAATTCAGATATTTAGATGGTAAAGGGCTCTTAATATAAAAAATACTTTCTTCTTACTCAAAAGTCTTTCAAGGAGGAAACCCCCCCCCCAAAGTATACTCATCCTCCCTCCAAATAAATTACCCTCCAGCTTTGATGGAGTGTGCCAAAAGTCAATATATACTTGGTCTCTAAGCACTCATCCATCATGGCAGCTCCTCCGCAGTGGAGCACTATACCCAACGTTGAGGTGTCTGCCAACATGCGGCCCCTAAAACTGTGCATAAACACTCTAACAATGAGATCATCGCTTACCACTTTTTATCAAAGAAAAAAAAATGCAAGTGTATGTGATGCAAGAGTGCTTTTTCTAGAGTCCTGCAACTCTCAGAACAATTTTATGCCCTGAGATCATGCATTTCATTCATGCTTCTCTTCTTCACTGTCATCATTTCCATTAACATCTGATGACACATGTTTCTTCTTTCTCTCAATCGCTGTCCTCACCTGTGCCTCAGCCACTCCCCCATTCATTTGCTGGTTTCTGCATAACCAGTTTAGCCTCCCTCCCTGTTTACTCTATATAACATGCTGTGTTGGTACTTTAGACTCACTTTTCCTGTATCGCACACGAGCACACATTTCCTTCTGTGAAATCTTTGGGGATTTAACCATGTCGCTTGACCAGGACCTCTGTTACCTCTGCAAGGAAGATCTCAGGGAGCCTGTCTCCATCCCATGCGGTCACATTTTCTGCTCTGTCTGTATCAAGACCTATTGGGATCATGCAGACCACACTGGACAGTACATGTGTCCCCAGTGCAGGGTCACCTACAACAAGAGGCCCAATCCACGCCGCCTTCAGTCCTCACGCCATTCATCTTCATCCCTCAGAAACTCAGACTCTTTCCCACCGGCCCCTCCGGCCCCTGACTACAACTATGCGGGACCCCAGGATGTGGGATGTGACATCTGCATCGGGAAGAAGCTGAAAGCTGTCAAGTCTTGTCTGATGTGTCTTGCTTCCTACTGCGAGAAGCACTTGAAGCCCCATTACGAATCATCCACCTTCAAACGACATAAGTTGGTCGATGAGATCGGACACCTTGACCGTCAGATTTGCCCGCAGCACCAGAAAGGTCTGGAGCTTTATTGCCGGACAGACCAGATGTGTATCTGCGTGTTGTGTACAGTGAAAGAGCATAAGGGCCACGACATGGTGTCTGCTGAACAGGAAAGGGCGGAAATGCAGGTAAGACTACAAAAAGTGCAATTGGGATCATATTTTTACCTATATTACACTGGTGAATATGTTATGGCAACAGATTAAATGGCGATAATGACCAGCAGAAGTAACATTATGAAAGACCATTCAACCTGTAACCTCCTGTATGCAACAGTGCACCTATTCTTGCAAAAAAAATTATTCTCTGTATGCTGTATATGCTAGATTGAGTATAAGAGTAGCCAACCCTTCTAAAACAAACATGGCCAGTGAGTGATCTCCACCCAAAAAGGAGATGAGGAAATGTATTGGTGAGGAAGGGTTTCATTATTAACAGTAAAGAAAACACAATTGTTCTACTCATGTTATTGCACAATAACTTGCATTATAGCCAAAGTTGGGTTTCATTGTGAAAGAATGTTAATACTTTAAAATGATGAGAATGTTTCATATTAGGTGCACAAAGAGTATCCAAAAGTGACTGCACATGTGGAAGTGTTGTGGTGTGAAAGGATGCTGTGCTTACAACATTCCTGTCACTACACCTCATTGTCATGAATTTGTTGTTTTTAATTGTTCATAGCAACGATTGGGCGCCACCCAAGCTGAGATTCAGGAAAAGATCCATGACAGAGTGAAGCAAATGGAAGAGTTAAAACAGGCTGTGGATGCACTCAAGGTATGGCTGGATAGTGAATATGTAAATTAATCATATATATATATATATATATATATATGAAGCGTTCAGATGCAAAAGCCTCTAACATGACAGAGTGAAGAAAATGGAAGAGTGAAAACAGGCTGTGGATGCACTCAAGGTATGGCTGGATAGTGTATATGTAAATTAAACATATATATATATATATATATATATGAAGCGTTCAGATGCAAAAGCCTCTAAGTGCCATCTGAAATGTTCATCTAAAATGAACATTTTTATCAGGCTGCTATGTTTAAGTTCAGTAATTTTACTCTAATGGCAATGTATAGGTAATTTTCTATTATATATATATATATATATATATATATATATAATGCAAGATAATAATACAAGATCAACATTAATTCTCAGTCTGGTGTGACCAATTCATACTCAGAATGAAGCAGGAATGTTTTGTAAACAGATGTGTGTATAAAATATAAAAGGTTATGAATTTCTTAGAAAAAAAATGAAGCGGAGTTAGAAATAGAATACTGATTACAATTGTTCCTTCAGAGTTCAGCACAACGGGCATTGCAGGAGAGTGAAAAGCTGTTTGGTGACATGCTTCATTCCATTGAAAGAATGCAACAGGAAATGATCAAACTCATCTCGACCAATAAGAAGGCTGCACTTAACACTGCTGAAGGCCACATGGAGCGTCTGGGCCATGAAATTGCTGACCTAAAGAGGAGAGACAATGAGCTGACACAACTCTCTCGCACTGAGGACCATATTCATTTCATCCAGGTGAGATTTGATAGATTTTAGTGTCACTCCACACAGGATGTATTGCGTGCAATAAAACTATTTTGTTTTTATTTTAGTTTTTCTACTATTTAATACAGTGTAAAATATTTTTGTTTCCTCTAGAGCAGTGATGGGCAAACTTGGCCCTTCCAGGTCACTTTCCTGCAGAGATTTGTTCCGACCCTGATAAAACTCACCTGCCTGTAGCCTTCTAGTAGTCTTGAAGACAATGATTAGCTGGTTCAGGTGTGTTTGATTAGGGTTGGAGCTAAACTCTGAAGGAAAGGGACCTGGAAGGGCCAAGTTTGCCCACCCCGGTCTAGTTTGATTAAATTTGCTAAATTGATTTTTATTTTTTTTTTATTTTTGTAAAGCTTCTTGGAAACCATTTGTAGTGTATAAAGCGATACATAAGTAAACGTGGCTAGTAGTAGTAAAAATAAATAACCCAGGGTTTACAAATGTAGCCTAGTCTAAAAACATGACTACCTTTTGATTAGTTACGAACCCAGGGTATTGTGTGAACATTGTGGTACATGTGGAACAAGGAACAAGACCGTTTACCCAGGGTTAAAGTCACCATGAAATCAAAATTTAAAATACTTATTTTTTTAATGGAATACTGTAGTGTTTATTAAAAATAATTTATCCGTGCACTTCATGATTTTTTTTTTAATTCATGTGCCCTCGTAATCTTTAATCAAAAACGTTAACCTCCCCTCCCCCTCAAAACGACTCCTCTTCTCTTCCGGTCACAAGCTATGGCGCGAGGGGTAAACGCTGGGATAAACAACAGGGGGAAAAACTGAAGCTGATGCTTCACTTTATAGGAATCAATGCATTGACCAGTGCTGACGCAAGCCATGAAGGAAAGTGACCTGGAAGGGCCAAGTTTGCCCACCCCTGCTCTAGAGCTATCAGTATGTGAGAAAATAAGTGTGCAGGGCAATCTATTGTGGGGATAAATAAGACTTAGATTTGTTCTTTTTTTATCACAGAGTTACCATATGCTGATTGCCCAGACTGATGCAGAGGAGCTGCCCTCTGTTACAGTGAACCCTTACTTCTCCTTTGGCACTGTTACCAAAACAGTCTCTGAGATGAAACAACATCTAAATGAGTTCAGCAATGAAGAGCTAGTCAAGGTGGCAAAGACAGGTATGGTCCAGTATGGCAGGATTCTTTTGTCTAACATAGAATCCAATGTAATTAGTACCCACAATTTTTCAGAGACAGTCTTGTTCACATTTTGAAATGCCCTTTTTGTTCCATGAGAATGAGTAAATAAATCGCGCTCTGTCTAGTTTATTGTGGTTCTTCTTAACCATTAAACTCATAACTTCATAACTCTCAATTCTCTTCCAGTGAACAAAATGCCATTCTGCCAGCTAGAGGACCGTAAGAAGAGAAGGTCTATGAAGTGTAAGTTAATGAAAATGGGAAACTCTAGCTGTCCTGCTGTTTGCTTTGTGCGAAATAGCTGGAATTTTGGAATGGTATTTGTCAAAAGCCAGTGTCGTGCTCCAAGAAATTGTTGGCCTGCTGCTAAGCAATGATCTTAAGTCTGACATCACATTAAAATACATATTTATTAGCTAATCTCTTCTATGAAAATCACACACACTATGAAAAGTTTTATTTTGGCCTTCAGTTAAACATACACTTCCGTTTAAAAGTCGGGGTCTGTAACATTTCTTAATGTTTGTGCTCACCAAGGTTGCATTTATTTGATTACAAATACAGTAAAAACAGTACAATTGTGAAATATTATTTAAAACAACTCTGTTCTAAAACATATATAATATCAATTTTACAATGCAATTTATTTCTGTGATGGCAAAGTTGATTTTTTCAGCAGCCATTACTTCAGCCTTCAGTGTCACGTGGTTGTAATATGCTGATTTGGTGCTCAAGAAACATTTCTTCTTATCATCAATGTTGAAAATAGTTGTAGTAATTGTGATTTATATAAAAAAAATTCCAGTATTCTTCAATTTAATGCATCCTTACTGAATAGAAGTATTAAAAAAACTTTAGTGGTAGTGTATTTATTCTCACATGAAAAGTACCTAAAGTACCATGCAGAGATTACCTAGAGGTCCTTCCTTTTTGTCAGTAATATAATATGTTTGCTATAGAAGACATCATTCTAACACGAAACCCTATTTTTATTGTGTTTCTAGCTGATGATGTTGACATGTACAAGAGTCCCAGCAACACTCCCCGGACAAGAGATGAGTTCCTCCAGTGTAAGTTTTATTTCATACAAGAATTTCCTTTTTATCTGTATGCCCAAGACCAGAGGGCGCTGTTGTAGAGATAACATGCACATGATATAAAGTTCAAGGTCAACAGAATTCTCACCTCAGGTGATGATTAATTAAAATAGTATATACATTTTTATATGTTTAGAAGCTTGCATAAAGTTCTATGAAAACATGCTGGCATTCTTCCTGTTAAATGTCAAACTGTAGTGGGAGTATAACATCATTCCTTGCATACTGAGTTTGTGTCCAAGCATATTGTAAGAACAGACGTAGATTGCTTAGTGAGGGGGTGAATGGGTGATTCATGATAACTGCCATTCCTCAAAACTTTAGACATTTTGTCTTCTCTTCTAAGAACATTGTGGTCTTTAAGAGGACAAAAACAATCTACATACACTACCATTCAAAATGTTGGTGTCAAAGAGATTAATTATTAAATTGATCAGAAGTGACAGTAAAGACAATTAAAATGTTACAAAAGATTTCTATTTCAAATAAATGCTGTTCTTTTGTACATTCTGTTAATCAAAGAATCCTTAAAGTATCATGGCTTCCACAGTTATTGTTTTTAACCTAATAATAATTAATTAGTTACAATAATAATAATTAAACTTTATGATAATAATTAGAAATGTTTCTTGAGCAGCATATCAGCATATTAGAATGATTTCTGAAGGATCATGTGACACTGAAGACTGGAGTAATGATGCAGAAAATGTAGCTTTGCCATCAGGAATAAGTTAGATTTAAAAATATTTTAAAGTAGAAAACAGTTATTTAAATTTTTAATTATATATCACAATATTGCTGTTTTTACTGTATTTTTGATCAAATAAAAGTAACCTTTATGAGCATAAGAGACTTCTTTCAAAACCATCTTACAGATCTGAAACTTTTGAGTGGTGGTGTAAGTCAGCTAATAATTATGCTAAGTTACTATATAGGGTGTACATATATATATACAAATATATAGGGTGTCTTAAATGTGTATCGACACTCTCGGCCCTCTAGATCAGAGACGTTCACACACCTCTGGCAGAAAGCACCTCCAAATGTCCAACCAGCTCTGAGAGCCAATGTGCAGACTCAACCACTAGGCAGGTGATTTATCCACATGCATGTTGCACCATACATTAGGAATGCCGATCTAGGATCAGATTTGCTCCAATCTGTTCATATTTGGAGACCATAATTAGCAAAACTGTTCCCAGATCAGAAATCCTATCCTAGGATACCCTAAAATAAATATACAATGGTGTCTGTCTTGTCATTATTTTGTATTATGTATTATTTTTATATGTATTATTTTGTGTTTCTTTTAATAAAACTGAGACATTACAAATGTGGCATGGTTGATCTGTAGACTCTGCTAACTCTTTGATTTTACATTTTTCAATTAATAATAGTGCTATAAAACCTGTGGTCTTGTGTGTCTTAACTTGACCCGTGCACATCAGCGTTTTGATGTATACAAAATCTCTTGTGGCACTTACTTTATCCAGTCTCAAAGAACAATGTAGCTATTAAAGCACCAAAATGCAACATATATATATATATATATATATACATGGATTAAGATACTTGCATGCAAAGGGGGCAGAGATTCATTGTCTTCATAACTTCACCTCCCTGTTTGTCTTCGCACATTCACATACAAATTTTAATTCACCAGTCCTGATCAACTCTTGTCTATCATGCTTATTTTATAGATGCCTGCCAGTTAACTCTGGACCCCAGCACAGCATACAGACAGCTATACCTCTCCCGAAACAACCGGAAAGCAGCACTAAAAAGAGACCCTCAGGCTTACAATGACAGTAACCAGAGATTTGAATGCCTGCCCCAGGTCTTGTGTAAAGAGGCTCTTTCAGGAGGTGCCTACTACTGGGAGGTGGAGTGGAGCGGGGAGGGAGCCTCAATTGGTGTCACTTTTAAAGGTATCAAGAGAACAGGTTACGGAGACTCGGCTCGTATTGGCTACAACCGCAAGTCCTGGAGTCTCTTCTGCTCTGACTCCAGCTACTCAGCTCGACACAATAAAGACCAGGTTGAGATTAACACACCCTACTCTTCCCGTATCGGGGTGTTCCTGGACTGTGCAGGAGGCACTCTTTCATTCTACACTGTGTCTGAGTCCATGTCACTTATTCATCAGTTTAAAGCCTCTTTCAGTGAGCCGGTATATCCTGGCTTCTGGGTCTGGTATGAGTCTGCTATTACTATTTCTCAGTTGTAAATGGTTGAACCGGACAGGGGATATGAGGGCATTACTACCAGCTTTTAAAAAAGTACTTTTTTTTTTTTTTTTTTTTTTTTTAAACGAAAGCCTGTTTCTGGTGAAGCTGATTATAGTTAGTGTATTTAAACTAAAAGTTTTAATCTATTATATACCAAAATATGTTTATATAATCTATTTTTACAAATTTACAAAAATGTTAAAAACGTTACAAAGAATTATATAAAATATTTAAATAAATCGTGTAGCTCATTTTCCTAGAATACGGACCTTACAAAAAGTCTAATATCTTTAATGACATGTTGTGTCCATCTGTGTGATTATACTTGATTAATATGAAGGTTAATCAGGTGCAGAAAAAGCTTTTTACAGTATATCTTAAGTTTGATTTATGTGGGTAATTTTGTCTGCATGATAACATAATAAAATTATCAATTAAAATGGTTGTTGAATCATTTATTTGACATATTGGAAACATTTCTAATGTATGATGCACAGATGCTGCCTAAATAAGAGCTGAATCATAGATCGGAGTATTATAAAGATGTCATCGTCCTAATGGCAAGTAACTTATTACAAGAGTGACCTCTGCTGGTTGTAATCACATCTGACTCAACAATGGGCTTTTGAACAAATAAAACTTCACTGATTTATTTTCTTTACACTCATATTTTTCTACTGATCAGCCCAGTGTTGGCCTCAATTGAAAATAAAGAAAGCATTGCTTATCAATATAGTTTTGTAGTTCAGAGTTCTACTCTCTCTGCCACCATGTTTTCTCATGGTGGTCACAAAAATTTAATTTTATAAGTTTTAATTTATATTTTTACATTTATAATTAAACTATACATTTTTTTCACTCCTTTATTTTTCATCAAATACTACGTTTTTTAAAGTAGTTTTGTACTTCAAACGAAATTTGAAATAATAGCCATTATACAGTTATTTTCGATATACATGTTGCCCCTTGGTAATATTATTAGAAAATACGGGATTAGTTTCCACTGTTATGCCGATGATACTCAACTATATATCTCAACAAGACCAGATGAAACTTCTAAATTATCTAAGCTAACAGAGTGTGTTAAAAATGTAAAAGATTGGATGACCAATAATTTTCTCCTATTAAATTCGGATAAGACAGAGATATTACTTATTGGACCAAAAGAAAGTACACCGAATCTCGTGGATTACAATTTGCAACTAGACGGATGCACGGTTACCTCCTCTTAGTATAAACAGTCAAAAATGAATAAACTCTCCTGCTGAAAAAAAAAATTAAAGCATACAACCATACAAGTCAAAACATTACTGACTGGTTTATTATTTTCAATCCATTCTCACTGATGCGACCAAGACTGGGGCTTACCATTGAGCTTGACTGGGCTGCCGTTTCAATCAGGCTATAGCCTACGTTCAGTCCACACGGTTCAGTCGTTTGCGAAGTTAAATGAATTAGCAAACGAATCGGTTGATATAAGTATTCAACTCACTCTTTAAAATAGTTACTTGCTGTCACCTACTGGCGGTTGTAGGTTCATATCTTTAAAAAAAGAATAAATAAATAAAATAAAAATAAATAAATTAAATTAAATAAAAAAGTTATATTTTAACTTAACATAATTCATGCAGAATCTATCTATGGATTTTGTTGATAGTGATTTCATTTGATTGTTAATAGCCAATGTGTCTTTTTATTCGGATTGAATTTGATTACATTTAAAAATCTGACATAAGAGGACACACACAGGCTATGACAATACATTTTAATAATACTAATACATATCTGGCTTTTTTTTTTACTCAGTGTTATTTTGATCTCTCAACTGAGAGAACACATCCTGTCTACTGTATTATAATGACAATTTTAATATTACATCTAAATTTTGACTAGGCTAGACATGTTGCATATTACTTGTATTATATATGAACCTCAACGCATATTTAAATTTTTGTGTATTTTGTTTTACTTCATAATGATGTTCTAGTTGTTGGCATTTGTAGTGTATAGGTATAATATCACAAGCGAGTTTTACCTCGATGACAGAATTCATTGCAAAATGTTTAACTTTGAGTGTACAGTAGCCTACGCACATTCGAACAGATGTTTAATCCAGAACTCAGGATCGAGGTCACGTGTTCCACCCGGACGGATTTCCGCTGCGCACTCACTCATTCATACAACCGCCTTACGAGAGGGAACATGGCAGCGCAGGTAAGTCTGATATTTAGCATTTTATTTCGGGATTTTTGTGAAATATACGACTCTCGCAGGTTGAATGCAAAATAATATATGTATTTGCCACTATTGTGTGCTGTCTGTAGAGCCTTGAAATGATTTGTGAATAACATTAAACACGTCTTTGAGCTTGCCGCTTTTAGCACATGTGCTTCAATTTATTACAACAAAAATTCAATTTTAATTCAGAACTTTGAGATTTTGAGGTCCATTCATGAAAATGGCTTTTATCCAGAGATTCGGGAATTGAGAATCTTCTTGGTAATGGTTCTTTAACTAGCCTGCAGCCAAAGCTTGTGTTTGTGATGGTTAGCTTGCATGTCACTGTTTTTATTGGAAATATGAAACTCCCCTATGTAAAATGCACTATTAGCGCATTTGACACAAATTTTCATCACGGTAGTAAAATTACGCTCCCGCATTGTACAGTCTACACATTTCTGCATTTCATTGCTAGAGTTCTGCTAGGCTGGAATCTGTGTTGCGCTCGTGTGTCACTATGGCAACGCACTCACTTAACGGCTGTTACTTATTAAATTACATAAAGATGACAACGAACCATTAAAACGCAGCTTGGTATTTAATTTGCACACTTAAATTATACACAATTTTACACTTTATATGTATATATTTACTTTTTTATTTATTTATGAAAGGTGGCAACCACGAAGGTTCCGGAGGTGCGAGACATCACTCGAATTGAGAGGATTGGTGAGAAACTAAATAACCCATAATAACAATAAAAAGCAATAATGAATCCTATCTATCTATCTATCTATCTATCTATCTATCTATCTATCTATCTATCTATCTATCTATCTATCTATCTAATGTAGTTATGCATGCATGCTACCAGCATAGGTTTAAATCAAGATAGCTCTGTTTATTTACAGAATGAATATGCAAGAACAAGTTAAAGTTAAATCTTGACTTCTCTCACAGGTGCACACTCTCACATCCGTGGCCTGGGCTTGGATGATGCCTTGGAGCCACGGCAGGTAATGTTCAATATTATGATTGATTTACCAGAGACAACACGCTTAAATATTGATCGCTGTATGTTTTAAACAAAACAACATACAAATGATGAACCTCTGTCTCACCAGGTGTCTCAGGGGATGGTGGGTCAGCTGGCGTCTCGAAGGGCAGCAGGGCTGATCCTTGAAATGATCAAAGATGGTCAGATTGCTGGTCGTGCAGTCCTCATTGCTGGCCAACCTGGGACGGGCAAGACGGCTATTGCTATGGGTGTGTTTTTGCATATATTTTTCATGATTAATCATAATTTGAAACATAGAATTAATTTACACCGTTTAATAAATTGCAATTGAGATTGAGCTGACCACAGTCACAGTAATGGTATGTGTCAAAATAGTTATTTTAATTATTGTTATATTGCACAGCCATTGTAAAATAACGAGTGAGTTGTGTTTATTGTACAGGTCTTGCCCAGTCTCTTGGCCCTGACACACCTTTCACTGCTTTGGCTGGGAGTGAGATTTTCTCTCTGGAGATGAGCAAGACTGAAGCTCTGAGCCAGGCCTTCCGCAAAGCCATAGGAGTCAGGATAAAGTGAGTGAGGCCAGCTGAAGTGTGAAGCAGCATGAAGTCTTAGATTAAGAACAATTAATAACCTCCAAAAATGTAAAATGCTTATTGCCACTTTGACATTGTGATCAAGTTGTAGGCTGTCTTCAACTGGAGATTAAGTGATCTACTGATTGTGGATTTTAAAGAATAGTTTACTCATGTACTTATCCTCACATTGTACCCAGTTTACGTTTATTGTATGGGAAATAGCCATAATCAAAGGGTGTCATGACTCAATTAATAGATTTTCATTTTTCTGTAAACTATTTCTTTAATGTGATTTTATAGATTCATTACACTTTAAAAAAAAAAAAAATTGTTCTAGTTAACTTAATATTTCATAGATTATAGCATGACTGCTCATGTTCTGTGTTTGTTGTCTGGCAGAGAGGAGACTGAAATCATTGAAGGAGAGGTGGTAGAGATTCAGATTGACAGACCAGCTACAGGAACTGTGAGTCTCTGCTCTTCTCTCTCTCCATAGACCAGATTCACTAAATTAACTTCTCTGTTTTGTTGTAATAGTTTTTACGGCACCAGAAATGATGTACGTAGACTATTAATAATAAACACTGCAGTATTCAAAAGAAGAATTGTCAGTTTTGATTTCATGGTTATTTTAACATTTGACATACCTTGAGAAGCTGAAGCAAATGAGAAAATTCTTCACACAGCACACTTTCCTAAACGCACTCTAATTTAATACTTCTATTTGGCTGAAAAGCATTATTGAAGATATTTATCATTCTTCAGTGGGAAATTCACTTTTTGTGATTATGAAAGTGAGAAATGAGTTTTCAGCAACGTTGATAAGCTGATTGTAGGACTCGGGTCCCAAAGTAGTGCTCAATATGAAGCTAGGAGATGTCCCTAAGTAAACTCAGTTACACATGAACCACTTTCTCTCTTTTCTGTATTTGTATTAAGGGTGCAAAAGTGGGGAAGCTTACGCTGAAGACGACAGAGATGGAAACCATCTATGATCTGGGGACCAAGATGATTGAGAGCCTCAGTAAAGAGAGAGTACAAGCTGGGTGAGTAGATTATAAAGCTACAAATTTGCAATTCACTTCTCTGTATGAAATAAATTGATCAGACTGGACTGCCGTCCAGCTTTTGCTACTAAATGTGTTAATCATTTCTGTAACAACCGAACTGAATAACTGAAACATTTGATGAGCTTGAGTGAGATCTGAACTCTAGTAATGAGCCATTGAGTTGTATTATTACTATTGATTTAACGTTGTTATAAGATTTTCCATCTTAAGGATGATGTATTTGCTTTATATACACACACACACACACACACACACACACACACACACACACACATATGCATATATACATATACCACTTTAGATAAAGAGACAAATTTGCAATTCACTTCTCTGTATGAAATAAATTGATCAGACTGGACTGCCGTCCAGCTTTTGCTACTAAATGTGTTAATCATTTCTGTAACAACCGAACTTAATAACTGAAACATTTGATGAGCTTGAGTGAGATCTGAACTCTAGTAATGAGCCCTTGAGTTGTATTATTACTATTGATTTAACGTTGTTATAAGATTTTCCATCTTAAGGATGATGTATT